CAATAAAAACACTTATTGCAGCTGGTCACAGTGGCTCACACCTGTAATCCCAGCACTTTGGGAGGCTGAGGCAGGCAGATTACCTGAGGTCAGGAGGTCTAGACCAGCCTGGCCAACATAGCAAAACCTTGACTCTACTAAAAATACAAAAATTAGCCAGGTGCGGTGGCTAACACATGTAATCCCAGCTACTCAGAGGCTGAGGCAGAATTGCTTGAACCTGGGAGATGGAGGTTCCAGTGAGCTGAGATCATGCCACTGCACTCCGCCTGGGCAACAGAGATAGACTCCATCTCAAAAAATAAAACAAAACACTGTGTGCCAGGCACTGTTCCAAGGGCTTATTTAGACCGGACGCGGTGGCTCCAGCCTGTAATCCCCGCACTTTGGGAGGCCGGGATGGGCAGATCACCTGATGTCAGGAGTTCAAGATCGGCCTGACCAACATCATGAAACCCTGTCTCTACTTAAAATACAAAAATTAGCCGGGTGTAGTGGCGCGCACCTGTAATCCCTACTACTCAGGAGGCTGAGGCAGGGGAATTACTTGAACCCAGGAGGCAGAGGCTGCAGTTAGCCGAGATTGTGCCACTGCACTCCAGCCTGGGTGAAAGAGCGAGACTCCATCTCAAACAAACAAACAGAGAAAGAAACTCCAAGGGCTTATTTAATTTTCGTTACAACTCAATAAAGTATATTACCATTATTCCCATTGTACAAAGTAGAAAAACGAGGCTCAGAGTGGTGAGGCAATTTCCTCAAGGTCACACAGCAGGAAGTGGATGCAGGCGCTGGGCTCGGAGTCTGAGGTCTGAACTATTCTAGCAGTGCACCCAGTCTCAGGAAGCAGTGACCACATCCAACTGTCTTCCCCATACCTGGGGCGCAAATTCCAGAAGCAGTGACAGACACCAGAGCAATCAATAAGTAAATGACACTGGGGATTACAAAGTGTCCACACCAGCTTCCCTCTGGGGACAAGCTGGGCTCTCAGAGGGTGCCCCCTGCTCCTGCCTCTTTCATGGAGAATGTGAGCCACTCCCTCCACTCAGTTAGGTTGGCTCCTTGAACTTTCATCTCTAGCAAACACACTTTCCTCTCCCTTCCTAGTTGCAAAGTATAGGGGAAACACAGCAAAACACAGGGACTCCGGGGCCTGTGATTTTAAGGAGGCAAACAGGGAAGTCCTCCCAGAGAAGGTGATGTTTGCACAAGGCGTTGAAAGAGGTCAGGGAGTGAGTGTATGATTCTGGGAACAGAGGTGGATCAGACATGGCCCTCTCTGCAGGGAGCTACCAACCTGGGGATGATACAGTAGGGCAGTGGGGAACATGGGGTCAACAGAGGATCCCAATCCGGTCTGGCGAGGGCTGATGGAAGCAAACCTAGGGACTGCAGAAGCCCCCAGGGATATATCAAGGCAGCCTGAGGGTGTAGGGTCAGGGGCTTCCTGGAGGAGGCGATGCCAGAGAGAATCACTAAATTGGTTTTATTATTTGTTTGTTTGTTTGAGATTACAGACACGTGCCACCACGCCTGGCTAATTTTTTTATTTTTAGTAGAGATGGGGTTTCACCATGTTGGCCTGGCTGGTCTCAAACTCCTGACCTCAGCTGATCCACCCGCCTCGGCCTCGAAAAGTGCAGGGATTAGAGGTGTGAGCCATTGCACCTGGCCGAGAATCATTAGATTTTGATATAATCCATGAGTGGGAGTTGGGCAGGACCAAGGGTAGAAAGCAGAGGTAGGAGGGTGGCGCTGGAAGAAGGCATGGAATGGGCGAGCCGCAGCTTGGCCTGTCAGGACAGGAGGAGTAGGTCGCAGTGGTGGAAGCACAAAGGGTAAGGGAGGGTCCAAGGAGGGAAGTGGACAGCTGAAGCAGACCATGAAGAGGAGGCTGGACCACAAAGCATCCCAAATGCCAGGCAGAGGGGCTGTGACTCTGTCCTGAGGGTACTGGAGAGCCACAGGCAGGCTGGGAGCAGGGGAGAACAGGGTCAGCTCTGGGTGCAGAAAGGCCCCTAAGAATGGGTACAGGTGGGCTCCGACGGGGAGAGACTGGGAGTGAGGGAGTGAGGGTCCAGGTGAGACAATGTGACTAAGAGACAATAGGGCAGGAAGGGTGGGGCGGGGGTGGAGAACTGACAGCTTTGGGAGGAGAAGGGAAAGGGGGTGGGACACTGCCTAGGTCTAATCTGGTGCTTAGGAAGCTGGCAGGGTCTGAATCACTCATTTGTTCTGAAAAGGACATCAACAGACACATCCAGTGAGACAGGATGTAATGCAGGGAGCCCTGGGGCACTGTGGGAGGGGAAGGCAGCACCCTCTGGAAAGGACAGGAGCTGATCCAACACTGCCTTCACGCTTCCCCTCTGTTCTCTCCCTGAGCACACCAGAGACATCCATGTGCCAGGCTCTGTGCTAAGTGATGCTGGGGCCAGAGCTGAGTCAAACGTGGGCCTGTACCATGGGGGAGACAGATCCAATCCCAGACATGCCAGGCAGGGAAGGCCAGGGCTGGGATAGAGGATGCCCAGGGGACTGTAGGAGTCCAAAGATGTGACAGTAACGAACAGTCAGAGCAGGGAGGAAACCAAGTGTTGGGACCCAGGACCCCAAGAGGAATGTGTCTCAAAAGGGCTGGAGGAGACATCCCTGTCATGTGCTGTCAGAAGCATCATTAGGACAGGGGGCACTGAGGGAGATGGGAGAGCAGAGTCTAGAGCCAGACTTGCCCAGGGTTTTGATTGTAACTCTGTCACTTACTGGCTGGGAGATCTGACAGGCGTCAGTTTCCTCATCTATCCAATGGAATTAATAGTACAAACGGCCGGCCGGCACGGTGGCTCACGCCTATAATCCCAGCACTTTGGAAGGCCGAGGCGGGTGGATCACCTGAGGTCTGGAGTTTGAGACCAGCCTGACCAACATGGTGAAACTCCATCTCTACTAAAAATACAAAAAATTAGCCGGGTGTGGTTGTGCATGCCTGTAATCCCAGCTACTTGGGAGGCTGAGGTAGGAGAATCACTTCAACCCAGGAGGCGGAGGTTGCAGTGAGACAAGATTGCACCATTGCACTCCAGCCTGGACAAAATGAGCAAAACTCTGTCTCAAAAAATAAAAATAAATAATAAATAATACAAAGGGTACTGAAAGGACTGAATGGGTTAATCTCTACAAAGGACTTGGAAGGATGCCTGGCATGTAAATACCCACTAAACGCTGGCTGCTATGATCACTGACGCTTTCATGCTCAAGTCTGGCTCCTGTACCCTCTTCCCCAGCCCACTCCCTAAGCAGGCAGGGGCAGTATCAGTGTCAACTTTGTGACCCTGGTTTTGCCCACCCTGAGGCCTCTAGGGTGCCAGGCCCCATGCTAGGTAATGCTGGGGACACAGAGGTAAGTCCCCAGGCTGATGGGAAGGACAGATGTGGATGGACAGTCACCATCTTCAGTCCAGTTCAGGCCAAGCACTGAAAGAAACGGGCCTGAGAGACCGTGTCTGATTCACCTCTGTCCACACCAGCCTCCCTCTGGGGACAAGCCAGGCGCTCAGAGAGTGCCCTCCCCCACCTCTTTCATGGAGAATGTGAGCTATCCCCAGCTCAGTCAGGTTGGCTCCTTGAACTTTCACCTCTAGCAAACACACTTCTCTCTCCCTAGCTAGAGGCTCCTGGCTCACCCTTAGGCCACGGAGGGTGGCAAGCAGCTTCTGGGGCTGCACAGGGCCCTGTCTGACTCCCTATAGCACATTTCGGGTAACAGTACAAAGGTAAGCAATGCAGCCCAGTGGGTGAAAGCAGTCAGAGGAACCTGGATAGAACTCTCGGCTCTGCCCTTCTCTAGCTGGGTGACCGCTCTGTGCCTCAGTTTCTCCGTGCGTTAAACAGGGACCATGACTTCTTCCAGTGGGTAAGAAATGGAGAAAGCAACTCACTCTGAACAGTTATCAAGAGAGTGAATCCAGAACGAGGGAAAAGAGAACATGGCCGTGACCCCGGAGGGATCGGATGTTAGAACTTCACTCTTTTGATTTTTGCCGTCAGGTGTGACTTTGACGTACAGGGGTTAGAGCGGCAGAGGTCGGGGGTTACAAGAAGACCCCCACCCAGTGTGCGCTCGTGGCCCCGGAAGCACATGGCTGCGGGACTCAGGGATGTGGGAGAGGGGGGCCCGGTCACCTTCACGGCGTAGTCGATGACCCTCTTGACAGCTACGAGCGCGCGCAGCTCCGCCATCTTCCCGCCGCAGCCACCTACAGGGTCAGCCCGCACCCTCAGTCGCTTCTTCCAGACACCCGACCCCACTCCGCCCCTCTCTGCGCCTGCGCGCAGCACGGTCAGCCAGTCAACCACTGCAGAGCCCGCCTCCCCGACAGAGGACCAATCGAGAGGCCGGAGGGAAGGGAGGTGTGGCAAGCAACGCAAACCAATGGGAAGCGGATCTCGGGGAGCCAGCCGGACCCCGAGAGGGAAGGAAAGGCCTGGCCGAGGGGGCAGGGCAGAGAACTAGGGGAAAGGTCGTGCACTGGAGGGAAGCGCGCCCGGAGTTTATAGATCCTCCCGGTCCTATAAACGCTTCCCGGTATCCCCGGATCTCCTTTCCCACTCCAGATCCCCCACTTCTTTCCGGCCTTTCCAAGTCGCGGTACTCGTATTCCCAGGCCTCTGAATCCTCGCGTGTCGGTGTCTCTCCATCCCCGTGTTCCCTGTCCTTTCCATATCCGTATCCTCCCCTGTCCATGTCTCTACTTCACCTCCATGTCGTCCCCACAGCCCCTCCACACCCTCTCCAAAAGCCCACGTCCCATCCTGGCCCCGCCCCTCCCACATGTCCCTGTTCCCATCCCAATCCGTGGAGACTTGTGTCTCCATGTCTGTGTCTCCCCGTTTCCACGTTCCCTATAGGTTCGTGTCCTTATGTCCTCCCTGAGTCTCTATGCAACCCCGTGCCTGCGTCCCCACGACCCCCAGAAAAGCACGCGGAGCCGCAGCGCTAAAAAAAAGCCGTTCCTTTATTCTGCCCCAGGCAGGCTGCAGTCACAGACACACGGGGAATCCACTGATGGCGTCGGTGCTCTGCATGATCATATCTGCCAGCAGAAAGCAGAAGCCTGGGGGGAAGGGGACGCGGGGCGGGAAAAGGAAGGTGGGCCCTGGGGCGGATGGCCTGGCGGGCCCCGGGGACTGGGGTTTGGGGCTCCAAGGGGGTCTCTGCCGGGTCTGCAGGAGTCGTTAGTGTGTTGGGGAGTCCCTGAGAGGTCCCCGGGGTTTACTGGAAGGGCAGCTGGGGAGCCTCTGGGGTGAGGGTCTTCTGGACAGTCTCCACCCTCTTCCCGCTGTGCAGGTTACCCGCGAGAATTGAGAAGGGTAAGGCCAGCCACCCAGAAAAATAGGACCAAGAGAAGAAGACGTTGTTCTTCCACGCGTTCTTCACCGTGTAGCCTATCAAGGCGGTCAGCAGCAGCAGTCCTGGGCCCCGCCCAGCCGCAGGATGAGCTAGCTGGGCCTGGTGGGGCTGCACCCAGGCCACGCCCCTACAGACCCGCCCCCTTCTATCAGACCACGCCTATCGGCTCTCGGCCCGCCTCTGGCCCCGGCCCCTTCCAGCGCCTCCGGCTGGGAACTCTGACTCGAGCCCCGCCCACCTCTCTCGGCTTCTTCCAGCACCGCCCCTCGGATCCCACACGAGTACCTCAAGCCCCGCCCCTGGTGACCAGGCCCCTCCATCACCCCAGGCCCGCCCCGCCGGCCGGCCTGGGGCAGGCTGCAGTCTCACCGCCGAGGAAGAGAAAGGCGCTCGTGGTCTGGCCCCGCAGCGACTCGCCCTCGTGGCACCGAATCCGCAGTCCCATCACCATGCCCACCACGCCGACACCCACCGCCAGCACCATGCACGCCGCAGTCACGGCCAGCGTGGCTGGGGAGAGCGGGCACATCAGCCCCCGCGGGCGCCGCCCCAGCCACTACGGGTTCGGCCGCAACTGGAAGCTTTCCTGTCTCCTCCCCCTAACCCGGTGTGTGAGCAGGAGCCGAGTTCCCCCGACCTGGAGTCAGGCGTTTGGACGGAGACTTGGAGGTCACGTCAGGACCTGCGGTTACTGCCGCGACCGGGACGGGGAGGGGGTCAGGGACAAGCCCACAAGTCGAGGGGCGGGGTTCGTGGCGGCTTCGGCCGAGGAGGGACAGCTGCAACTGAGCCGGGGATGGAAGGGGTGGGCGTCTCGCCATGGGCCCAGCAGTGTCCCGAGCCCTGGGAGTCGGAAGTGCCCTCTGCCATCTGGGCGGGCGGAGCCTCACTCTGGCAGGGGATGTTGGAGCAGATGCCGTGGTTGCATTCCTGCCACAGGCCACTGTGGCCCTCTTGTTGGCGGGTCCAGTAGTTGGTGGCCGTGGAGAGCACCATGAGGACGTTGGCCACGAGGCTGAGCAGAATGCCCCCTCTCTGGAGGCTCCGCTTCACCCCCATGCCACTGAGGCTGCAGCCGGGGGCCACAAGGGCAGGATGGGCCCAGGCCCTTCCTACCCCGAGGCCCCCAGCTTAGGAGGCCGCTTCCTCCACACTCCTCCCCTAGTACTCCTGCCTGAGGTCCCTGCTTCTGGGAACCTGAAGACCCCCTCCCTCAACAAGCATGCCTGAGGACCCACAACCTCCTCCCTCCAGACCTCGTTCCCCTTCCTGGGGACCCTGAGACTTCCCCTGAGAGGCCTCTGAGACCTTCACCACAGGCTTTGCAGTGAGGAACCTGTCTTCCCAGAGATGTCTCCCCACAACGGAATGCCCGTTCAGCCTGTTCAGTGCCCTCCCCAGACACCCCTCCACACACGCCCACCTAAGTGACTCACACCCAGCGCCCCAGGGCTCCTTAGACACAGAGCCCAGAGAGATGGGGGGAGGGAGGCTGGGTCTCTGTGAGGCCAGGGGTTCCAGAACCCCCTCCCCAGTGGCTGTTTAAAGGGATATTCACTCCCCCCACAACCACACACATACACCCCAGCAGCTGGCAACTTAGTGACTGCTTAGATTCAGACAGCATCTTTGGGGGCCATTACATGGTAGGCCAAGTCCTTCTTTTGTCATTATTATTATTATTACTTGAGATGGAGTCTCGCTCTGTTGCACAGGCTGAGTGCAGTGGTGCGATCTCAGCTCACTGCAACCTCCACCTCCTGGGTTCAAGCAATTCTTCTGCCTCAGCCTCCCAAGTAGCTGGGACTACAGGCTCACACCACCTCGTCTGGCTAATTTTTGTATGTTTAATAGAGACGGGGTTTCACCATATTGGCCAGGCTGGTCTCAGCCTCCTGACCCCGTGATCTGCCTGCCTCAGCCTCCCAAAGTGCTGGGATTACAGGTGTGAGCCATCTCTCTCTTCCAGGCTGGAGTGCAGTGGCACCATCACAGCTCATTGCAGCCTTGAACTCCTGGGCTCAAGGAAACCTCCTGCCTCAGCCTCCTGAGTAGCTAGAACTACAGGCATGTGCCACCACACCTGGCTAATTTTCTGAAGATTTTTTGTAGAGATGGGGTCTCGCTGTGTTGCCCAAGCTGGTCTTAAACTCCTGGGCTCAAGCAATCCTCCTACCTCGGCCTCCCAAAACACTGACATTATGGGTGTGAACCACTACTCCCAGCGCTTTCTTAGAAACTTCTCTTCCCTTGGCCAGGTGCACAGTGGCCTCACGCCCGTAATCCCAGCACTTTAGGAGGCTGAGGCGGGCGGATCACCTGAAGTCAGGAGTTTGAGACAAGCCTGACCAATGTGGCAAAACCCTGTCTCTACTAAAAATACAAAAATTAGCCAGGCTAGCCGGGAGTGATGGTGGGTGCCTATAATCCCAGCTACTTGGGATGCAAGGCAGGAGAATCACTTGAACCTGGGAGATGGAGGTTTCAGTTAGCTGAGATTGCGCCATTGCATTGTAGCCCGGGCGACAGAGCAAGACTCCATCTCAAAAAAAAAGACAACAAAATTAGCCAGGTGTGGTGGTGCACGCCTGTAATCCCAGCTACTCGGGAGGCTTAGGGAGGAGAACTGCTTGAACCCAGGGGGCGGAGGTTGCAGTGAGCTGAGATCACACCATTGTACTCCAGCCTGGGTGATAGAACCAGACTCCGTCTCAAAAAAAAAAAAAAAAGAAACTTCTCTTTGCTTGACATTCTAGGCACCCCAGAAGCTCTCCAGGTCCCCAGCTATCTAACTGCAGACTTCTGCTCCTCTGCCTTCTCCCCTTCACTTGTAAATCTGGGTATCCCTTGAAGCTCCACCCTACACTCCCTTGCCAGGCAAGCCTCCTCACTGCCAAAGTTTGAGTGCTCCTTAATGCTCCATCCAAAACTCCTATCTCCAACCCAAGGTCTCTCCCCTGAGACCGACTCAAATTCTCACCTGCTCCTGGCTGCCCCTCGGGGTCTTAATCGTCAGCCATATTCCATCTGAGCTTAGTGTCTTCCACCCTATTAGGGATGGCCTTGCCATCCCATCCAGTTCATCGAGCCAGACACTGGGCACTGTCCTCATCTTCTTCTTGCCCCTCACCCTGAAAAGCCTTGGGTCCCCAAGTCCTGCTCCTCCTGCCCCTGATCTGTCTGGCTCATTCCTTCCTTTCCTGGTTCCAGGTCAGGCCTCATCATGTCCCACCTGTTGCATTGCCAAGTTCCTCCCTGACCTTCTGGCCTCCCCTCCACGTCTACAGGGGGATCTGTCTGGTACCCAGAGCTGACATTGTCCCTCCCCTGCCCACAATTTTTTCCCAACTCCCCATCATGCTCAAGAGAAAATCGAGCATGACATTAGAGGCCATAACCCCCACCTGCCTCTCCCTCTTCATTTTCCATCTCCCGCCCCCAACATTCTATATCCTGGCCATACATTACCGTTCTTCATTCCCACAAGACTCTTGACTTTTCTGCACGTTCATCTTTGGGCCCCTCTGCCTGGATATTACCTTTCCTTGGCCCTTAAGAAGCCCCTAAACATTCTCTGTCTAGAAAAGTCATCTCCATCCCTCCACAATATGGTTAGTCTTTTTCCGGCGTTTTCCCTGCACTGGGACTGCTGTCTGGCCTGTATTAACTGCTTCTGGTCTGTAAGGGCCTCCTCCCCACCACCCCCACAGACTGAGCCCCTGGTAGGCAGGGCCTGGGTCTGACCCGTCCTAGTGTCCCCAGCATGGGGAAATGTGCAAAAGAGAACTGAGAGAGACTGCGTGCAAAGAAGGGCCGAGTTCTGGCAAGGGGTACAAAATCAGAGAGGAAGAGAGAAGGAAAGAGAGCCAGCTAAAGGGAGAAAGACACAGGGAGAAAGAAAAGTGCTGGAAAGGGGGAGAGATAGACCCAGGTTGGAGCCTGTATCCACACGGGCCAGGCAGTTGCGCTGGGCAGGAGCGCCCTGCAGGCTGGTCGGCCTCGTGGTGGGCTGTCACCTTCCCTTGGTGCTCAGCTCCTACCATGGAGCTGGCAGACGGTTGGCTTAGGTCTTGGCAGAATTAATCTCAGAATAGCCAGATTCCAGCCAAATTTTGTTGAATGAATGAAGAAACAAGTGGAGGGGCTGGGGAAGGGCTGAAAGGGTGGGGCGGATGTAGGACCAGACTTTCCGGAGGCTCCAGATGAGGCCTTTGGAACACAACGCTCAAAACTCATCTTGCCGCTCTTGCCTTCTGCTCACAAGGTGTCATAGCCAGGCCGGGGGCTGCCACAGTGAGCACCCAGGCTCAGGGCACCTGGGAGGCCAGAAAGAGTTTAAGCACTTGCCCCTGCCCTTCATCCTCAGGGCCCCCTATTGGCCCTCCCAAGCTCCCCAGGGCAGTGGGCAGGATAGTCACCTGTGCAGAGCAAGAGGATAGCTGAGACCCAGCCCAGGTAGAAGGACCAGGAGAAGAAGGCCTGGATCTGGGGGTGTGGAGGCTGGTCCCACCGCTCGCTGGTGTACACCGCCATGGCCACTGCCATGGAGAGGGCTGGGGGCAAGGACAAGAGAGATAGCTCAACCCTTCGGCAGGAATTCACTGACTCCCGATGCCCCAGTCCAGTCCAGAGTCCTTACCTGCAGCAAACGCTGTGATGGTTGAGACAAGGGGGCCGTGGCCTGGGGTAGACAGTGAGGGGATGCAGGACAGCACCAGGAAGCTCACGCACACCAGGCCCCACAGGACAGCCAGAATGCTGAAGCTCTGCGTCACATGAATGTAGCCTGATCGAGAGAAAACCACTGAACACCCATCCCCACTGGCAACCCCTCCGCAGGACACCCATTCCCCTTACCTGCTATGATGTCCCCATGCCCCGTTGGCCAGAGGCCCGAGTGAGCTGAGTGGGTGGGACCCACAGCCTCAAACCAGAAATCGGTGCTCAAAGCAATCAGGCAGAACATTAGGCCCAGGAAGCCCACAAGCAGGGCCAGGGACCGGCAGGGCTCCATGGGGATAAGCGCGGGGCTTCTGGGTCCTGGAGGAGGAAGAGGCTGCTGATCAGACTGTTGAATCTCAGAGGGAAGGAGGCTGTGCACCCAGACTCCTGGGTCTTCAGAGCTCAACAAAGAGAGACCAGCAAGCAGTCGGGGCAGTGAGGGTTCGTGTGCTTTGTCAGATGAGGCTGGTTTGGTTTCACACAGTTCCCGGTAGCTGACTTTTCACATACCCTCCCTTCCTGGATTGCACAGGCAACGTCCTCCCTCCCCTCCCCAGGGTCCAGTTCCCCGCTTAGTGTGTGGTGGGGGAGGCCACTGAGGGTGTCAGATCATCAGTGGTTTGGGTGGTGGTTTAGAACTTGCCTCTGTCACAGGTTCTACAGCCCCCACCCCTGGAACCTTCAACACCAAGTTGGGGCTTCCTGGAAGAGGTGAGAGAGAGAGAGAGGCTTGGGGGCCCTGAGGTGGGAGGAAGCCAATCAGGCTAGGGTGTGCGTTAAGTGGGAGGGGAGATGTGGCTGGAGGGGACAGTTGGCGATGTGTCATGCTTTCCTGTGGGTTCTGCAGTCTTCCATTTTGGAAGAGGAAGGCCCCAAGTCTAGGGTCTCTACTAAAGAAGGGGGCTTGGGAGTTAGAACTCCTGGGGCTTAAGGAGGAAGGAGCTAGGGGCCTGAACTCCAGGTCCTGAGGGAGGAAGGGGCGGGTGGGAGCTCAGAATCCTGGGCCGCAGTTTGGAACATATGCCGAGGGCAGGTAAACAGCAGAGAATCACAATTCTGAAAGGTTGGCAGAGAGGCAGACATACCCACATCCTCATCTGATATAATGAGTTCAGTGGCATCTCTGCTTTGGTGGGGGCTCCAGCCTGGTAGCCTTTATCACCAGGATCGGGGGGCCTAAAGGGTGTTGGGAGACATAAGGATTTCAGTCTAGGGTTCTCCAGCCCCCCAGATGCTAGCATCTTCCATCCACACCAACGTCAGGTCCTGGCAAAACCTCACTCGTGAGCAGGTGTAAGGTGATGGTACTACAGCCCAGGTAGAAGACCCAGGAAATCTTGGCTTCTGTGAAACAGGGTGATATGGTTAGGCTTTGTGTCCCTACCCAAATCTCATCTTGAATTGTATCCCCATAATCCCCA